AACAGTAGATGCCACTCAATAAATATTTTATACGTGATAGATATTTTTGTCTGAAATTACTTTTTCACTCAAGCAATAATTTAAACCCTCGTTTTTAGTTTTATGAGGTGACACTTTTATAATATCATATAGTGACTGCAGCTTGAATGTCATAGAGCTTTAGGGCAGTGTTAATCATAAATTCATCTGCCCCCACCCCCGATCCTCAGAGACTTTCTGTTAATTCAGATTTCACCCCTTCTATGTGTGGAAGAAAATGTGTGTGTGTGAGAGAGAGAAAGAATGTGCATGTATGTGTGTGTGTGAGCACATGTGCTGGGGATGAGACAAGTAATGCTTTTGACTTAACGGCTCTGAAGTTACAAATTTAAAATGATTTTTAAAATCTATGTATGAGACTTATTTTAAGGAGGGAAAAAGAACATGTTTTTCAGTGGGTTAAAAAACAGAATGTTAAACTATGCCGGGATGTATCCTAAACACTCTCTAGTTTGAGTGAGGGGAAGCTGTAAGAGTTTAAAACACCCCCGCCACTGCTCTCCTTTTTGGGCTATTGCGTACTTTGATGGAGAAGGGTAATACTGTGCCTGGACCTCCGAGAGCAGTCTCTCCTCTCCTTTCCACATGAGTCTGGCGGCCGGGCGCAGTCCATGGCCGGGAGCCGCCTGCCCTGTGTGCAGTGGCGTCACACTTCACAGCTACCAAGCCTGCCAGCGAGAACTTTGTTTTATGAATTGAGGCTGTATGATTAAATTCTCCATTGCAATATATATCTTTAAAAAAAAAAATCACAGACTTTCCACTTTATGGGCAAGAGAAAAAGCATGAATTCTGCCGGAGAAGCAGGAGTTGGGGTCAGTATATTGAGGGTTCATTTCAGCCAGGATTTGCAAGGGCCTTGGTGTGGTGAATTGGGAAGACGAAGTCCCGGCCTCTCAGCCTGATGTTCTGGGCCTGGTGAGGGAGCCCGGCTGATAAGAGGAGTAATTGAAGAACAATGATACACTTCATTTCCTTTTCTTGAATCTAAGTTATGCATTGGTCATTTCCTCTGCGTATATATTTAATGGTTGTTAAATTAAATTGCTTTCTCTCAAGTGGTGATTTTTATGTTTTTTTTTTTTTAACCATCTTTTTTTTCCACTCTACTCTGTCACTCTCTGGCCTGACTCCAGCTCCACACGCGTGTGGTGGAGGCTCTGATGCAATATTTAAATGACACGGGATGCAGTTATTCGATCCAGGGATGTGAGGAGTGCCAGCTCTGTTCGGGCTGTGCTGGGCTTCGGAGTCCAGAACTGGAGTGTGCTCAGCATGTCCGGCCGCACAAGGGGGTGAGGGAGGTGTTCACTCAGAGCACCCCTGCCCCAGGCCCCCCATCAGCAGCACGGGACTGGCTCCTCCACGGCTCCCGTCGGCCTGTGGCCACTGAGCCCGGTGTCGTGCTCTGGGATGGGGCGCAGTCTCATCAGCCCAGCCCGGCCTGCAGGCTGGTATTTCCACCTCACTCTGCTGGAGTTTGTTCGCTTTCCCCCTGTGCCCTGAAGCCTGGGTTTCCAGTCTGCTGTCTCAGGGCAGGTGGGCCTGGGGACCTCCCAAGTCTCAGCCCCGAGACCCTCCTGCCTGCCTTTCTCCGAGTGTCTGCCCACTCATTCGCTCATTTGACAGATCCTCACTGAGGAGCATCTCTGTATCAGAGATGAAATTAGGTGTTGGGTTACATTCTAGTTGGGAGACAAGGGATAAGCTCTTATATAACGTGCAGAGAGTGGTAACTGCTCAGAGAGAAACAACTCAGGGTAGGAGATGAGTGACTGCTGTCTTGAATGGGGTGGTGGGGAAGGAGGCTTTGGAGCAGAGCCCTGAGGAAGTGAGGGCCACGTTTTGTGTGCATTGAAGGCAAGTCTCTCCTGCCTTTCGTCCCCCAGGGGACATTTCTCCATGTCTGGGGACATCTCACAGCCTTCGGGGAGGGATATGTCTCACTGGCACCTGGAGGGCAGAGACCAGGTACACTCCCAAGGCTCCAACAGTGGACAGAGCGGCCCTGCATGCCGGGAAGCATCCGGTTCAAAATGTCAGTGCTGCCAGGATTGGAAAACCTAATCGGGAAAGGGAAGGAGTAAATGAGAACAGAGGAAACAGTGGCCGCAAAAGTAAAAGGAACGCCCTTAGGAGCCCCTGAGCTGGGAGCAGGTTTGGAGAGCAGCAGGGAGCTGGGGTTCCCGGGGAGGAGGGTGCTGGGGCGAGTGGCAGGAGGTCAGGCAGAAGTGAGGTCACACGGAGTTTTGTAGCACCTTGCAAAGATTTTGGCTTTGACAGAGCACAGGAGGCTGCATAATTGACCCCAGCAGAGGAGGGGCCTGCCCTAACATCGCTCTGGCTGCAGAGGAGAGCGTGGACCCTGGGTTGGGCCCGGGCTGGAGCAGCCAGGATGACTGCGGCCATCTGGCTGGAGGTGCGGGTGCTTGGGGCCAGGGAGCAGTGTGCTGCTGTGGTTTGTTGTTGGATTGCGTGCATATTTTGAAGCTAGAGTCAATACTGAGTGTTGAAGGGTTTAGAGAAAGGCATGCGCAAAGGACAGCTGTTTTGTTTTTTTTTTTAACTTTTTGTTTTGTATTAGGGTATAGCTCATTAACAATGTTGTGTTAGTTTCACGTGAACAACAAAGGGACTCAGCCACACACACACATGTATCCCTCAAACTCCCCTCCCATCCAGGCTGCCACATAACATTGAGCACTGTTCCATGTGCTATACAGTAGGTCCTTGTCAGTTATCCATTTTAATACAGCAGTGTGTAGTGTATGTGTAGTGTTAGTTACTCCCCAACTATCCCTTCTCCCTATCCTTCTCCCTGGCAGCCATAAGCTTGTTCTCTAAGTCTGTGAATCTTTGTTTTATAAATAAGTTCATTTGTATCTTCTCTTTTTAGATTCTGCATGTAAGGGATGTCATATGATATTGCTCCTTCTCTGTCTGGCTCATTTTACCTAATATAATATTTTCTAGATCCATCCATTGGAGAAGGAAACGGCACCCCACTCCAGTACTCTTGCCTGGAGAATCCCCTGGACGAAGGAGCCTGGTGGGCTGCAGTACATGGGGTCACGAAGAGTCGGACACGACTGAGTGACTTCACTTTCACTTTTCACTCTGATGCATTGGAGCAGGAAATGTCAACCCACTCCAGTGTTCTTGCCTGGAGAATCCCAGGGACGGGGGAGCCTGGTGGGCTGCTGTCTGTCGGGTCTCACACGGTCGGACACGACTGAAGTGACTTAGCAGCAGCAGATCCATCCATGTTGCTGCAAATGGCATGATTTCATTCCAGTCCATGATATATGTATCACATCTCCATAATCCATTCCTCTGTCACTGGACATTCAGTTGCTTCCACGTCTTGGCTGTTGTAAACAGTAGGACAGCCTAGTTTTTGGCCCAAGCAACTGTAAGGAAGATTGGCATTTACTGAGAAGGGCTGGTGTGCAGATGTGGCAGGCCATGGGAATCAAGGATTGATCTTTTGAGGTGTTAAGTTTGAGCTGCCTGCTTGGCGTTGCCACAGGTATATCGAGGCAGGGAGGTTTGTACACATGAGGGGCGAGTTTTAAGGGAGAGGCCTGCCTTCCCCTTAACTTGAGGTTTGAGCGTCATTAGCATGCAGTTGAGCTCTCTGTGTGTGTAGGTTCTACATCCATGGATTCAACCCACCGCTTATCGGAAATGTTTGGGGGAAAAAATTTCAGACAGTTCCCCAAGGTAAAACCTGAACTTGTCTTGCTCCAGCAAATATTTGCATAGCATTTTCATTATGTTTGCAGTGACTTGCGTAGCATTTACATTGTATTAGGTATTATAAGGAATCTAAAGATGACTTAAAGTATAAGCGAGGATGTGTGTAGAATATATGCAAATCATGTGTTTTTAGATAAGGGATATGAACATCCTTGCGTCTTGGTATCCGAGGGGGTCCTGGAACCAGCCCCCTCTAGGATATACAGGGATGACTCTGTAGATTGCTGGTAAATTCAGGAGACAGTTGAGTCCCTGGGATCACAGACTCCATGGCACTGGAGAGTGCCATAGGGAGGAACTGGGGGACCACAAGTAGGGAACTCTTTGGAGGTGATTTCCTCTGAAGGGGCACAGAGAAGTTGGTGGTGGTTGGAGGGCGATGCAGGGCCGAGGGAAGTGGTGGCGGTGGTTGGTGGGATCCCTTAGCAGGTGGGGATGGTCAGTGGGTAGAAGGTGGTGCAGGGCTCCGAGGGTTAGCCACCTCCGGTTCATGGGAGATAATGCACAGGAAGGGGTTGCTGTCATCGACATGTGGAGTTTGACCCTAGTCACCAGCAAGAAGAGCCAACGAATCAGGAGACATCTAGGTATTAAGTGAAATAAAGGTTCTGAAGTGGGAGAAAGATTATCTTGTATTTGACTGGTCCTGGACCCCTTCCTCAGGAAGGCAAGATTTGAGCTTAGCTTCGTGTGAGTGTGTGTATGTGCATTTATACATATGTATATGAATCTTTATCTGACAATAAATGTAATTCATTTTATATTGAGCTTTTTATATGTTCCAAGCTCTCTTTGCCACCATATGCCAGGGTTTCAGCATGAAGTTTATGATTCTTTTTTCTTGCAGTTTTTTTCATGAGCAGTAAAAACATCGCTCATTTTTAACACTTCCATGCTCATGCTCATGCTGTCAGTCTGACTGTTTGCGACCCTGTGGACTGTAGCCTGCCAGGCTTCTCTGTCCATGGGATTTCCCAGGCAAGAGTACCAGAGTTAAAAAAAAAGAATACTGAAATGGGTTACTGTTGCTTTCTCTAGGAGATTGTCCCCACCCAGGGATCGAACCCCTGTCTCCGTCGGCTGTTATACTGCAGGTGACCACTGACCCAGTGGAGAAACCTGTGTAAAGTCTAATGAGCACCTCACAGGAAGTTCTCTTTTCCCAAAGTAACCTCTTTCTTTTCTTTCCCTCCTAATTCCAGGAACAGACTCTGGCCCTAAGGAAGGAAGGGATTGGGGTTGTTTTGGACTCCGAGCTGCCCCATCTGATCGGCATATATGATGACCTCCTGAGCACTGGCATGATCCTGTATCACTTGAAGGTAGAAACTGCTTGCCTGAAACCTTTTCAGTTTGTTTTCAGCTTTCCCTTGGACACTGGCAAGGTGTCATGTAATACTCCGTGTCCATGAACACGCTGTGACAGTAAAGAATGTACAACAAATCCTCAAGCTCTTTGGGGATTTTCACTGGTTCATTGGGATTCTGTGGTATTAGGAATTCCTGTTTTATGTCATCCTACAGCTAAATGAAGATCCATTCCCTTTGCCTTCTAATCTGTAGAACCAGTAAGAGGGAGGTAAGGAACGAAAAGACAGACTTAGGAAGAAAAGCTACCAGCACCTAAACTGCAACTGCTTGTATGTACAGTTTTCCAGTCCCTCAGGTTGATTATGAAGTTGTGTCTGAAAGTCACTCACTCATGTCTGACTCTTTGCAACCGCTTGGACTGTAGCCCACCAGGCTCCTCTGTCCATGGGATTTTTCAGGCAAGAATACTGAAGTGGGTAGCCATTTCCTTCTCTAGTGGATCTTCCTGACCCAGGGGTCGAACCAGGGCCCCTCTGCGTTGCAGGCAGATTCTTGAACCACCAGGTCCCGCCTACATTATTGGGCCTGCTGCCAAACAGAGTAGCCCTTTCACAACATAAGAATTTCCTCATCTGCATCAGCGATGGGCTCTGTAACCTTGACTTCAGTATCTTTTCTCTGATCCATGACTTACAATGGAAAGAGTATCATACTGTGTTTTGCGGGCTCCCCTAAACCATATCTTTAGACACAAAGAAACCCCTGGCCACTGGAGGAGAGATTTGTTGGAAAGGATTGTGACTAGCCATGGAATTGTAGTCAGGGGCAGGTTACTGATGCCGAAACAGGAGGCCAGTCTTGCTGAGCCCCGAGCCTCAGGAGTCCTGTGTCCCTTTCTGGACACCATGCACTGTGCTTACAGAGCCTCAGGGGACTCTGCCTGGGCCAGAGCTCGCCCACCTGTCAGCAGGTTTCTGGGGCTTCCATGAAAGATGGAGAAGAGACCGTTCTTCATGTTCTTAACTAATAAATTTTGCTTGGCTTTTCTCCCTAGGAAGGTCAGACACATGTCGGCAGAGAAGATGCTTCGACAGAACAAGATATTGGTGAGAATCTTTATCAGCTTCCTCTCTCCAGTGGTTTTTAAGAAATCATTTAATGAACTTGCTTTTGAATGACTGACTTGGAAGTAATTATAAAAAAGGAAACATTTCAATTGCAGCATTGATCAGAATGTGTATTTCCATAATTTTGAACTCAGCTCAAATGACCAACATCGAACGCTTAGTTTAGTGACTAGAATGGAGCTGCAGATCCTCTCCCCATGCCCCACGTGCCTTCTGTCCTCAGCCACGTCTTTCAGGTGGGCTGTGCTTTAAACCACTCACCTCTTGTCGCAGTGGAGACATCCTAACAGGTACAGAAAAAAGGTACAAGATCCTTTGATGGGAAATCCTTCGCACTTGGCACGTACATGCACATAGGCGAGGACAGAAAGTAGGATACACACATGCCCAGCATTCACACACACACAGCAGCATCTCCTGGCTTTTCCCACAGTCTCTGTGAGGTACCCGGCTAACCAGTGCTATAATCCCTGAGCCCGGTGAGGTCTTGCCAGGCTTTCTAGAGTAAATTAGAGCGTGCATGTGGTGAGAGTGGAGTGTGTGTCTATTTGTGTGGTAGAGCGGGCAAGGTGGGGCTTGGCAGGGGAAGAATTGTATCTTTTCAGCTGGCTTTTAGAAATGCTGGCAATGAACTTGCTTTCTTGCCCAGTGTAAGCTGTTAATCAAGTCTACGTGTATTTATTGTTTATCGTGAACTTGGGAGAGCTGGAAACCAATTCCTGGAAGTCTCTGGGTGAAACTAGCCATCAGGCCTCCTCTTCTCATCGTTAAGTTATGTGCTGACCTTGGGTTTGTTGTACGTGATGCTAAGTGCCCAGCACATGTGTTTTCTGTAAACAGAAAAGTTCTGTTCACAGTGTAGGTCTGGGGAGAATAGTGGAAGCAGTTTGGTTTGTGCTTCTGAGCAGCTGGCCAGGAACTGTGCCTGAAGTTGCGTAGGTTTGTGTGACCGGTGTTCATGTCTTTGCCTGGCCATGTGTCACCAGGAGGTTCATTGGGTGGGAGTAGGTAGCCCTTGGCAGCCACATGCTCTGAGAGCTCTGTGGAGGTCAAGTTCACCTCAGGACTTCTGGAGACTTCTTGGGCCTCCCAAGATCCATGCCCTCCCACATTCATCTTTCACCTTTGGTTTGTGCTCCAGGAATGCAGTGTCAGTAAGAGTTGAGGTCACAGTAAGTCCTGGAACCCTGGGGCCATCTGCCCCTTCCATTTTACTGGGACCTTCGGGTAACTGGAGGAGGAAGTTCATTCAGACTCGCGCAAAGCGTCTCAGTGGGAATCAGCTAAGTCACGTTACTCAGCTGTTTTTTCGCTGAAGATGAAGTCCTTTGTTTCTGGTGATATCCAGCCCCACTGAGTGACATGTAAGAGCTGATTCTGTCAGTTGATGCTGTGAACTCCTGAAGTTCAGTTTTCTCACTAAACAGAAGTGTTCCCCTCACAGTTCAAATTGAGAAAATAAATGAAGGTTGGGAATCATTGCGCCAGGTACTAAGGGACATATTTTCTTCCTTTGTTTTCCCTTCTCAGTTCTTCACGGCCTCGACTTGGAGAGTGAGCACTGCATCTTTGAGAATGTTGGGGGTACGGTGACTCTGATCCCCCTGAGTGGGTCCCAGTGCTCTGTGAACGGCGTTCAGATCATGGAGGCCACACACCTCAATCAAGGTATTGGCTTTTGGTTCTCAGTTCTTCGTACATGTCTTTTCTTAAAAACAAGTTGGCTAGGTAATGGGGAACGTGTGCATCCTAGGACTAATTATTTTGTTTAGGTATAAAAAGGATGAAGACTGTTAGCTTCGTTAGGCTCTTTTCTGTTTTGCTGGAGTATTTCTTTATAAAATGCCCGTCGTCTTGTTGAGTTAAACTTCTGTGTTGTGGCTTAAAAGTTACTGCTACTATGGAACTATGACTTTAAAGAAATTATATTAAGTTAAAAAAGTGCCCTTCAGGTGCAAGACCTTAACACAGTGGCTTCTTTTAATAATTTATTACCTTATTTATATTCTTTTTATGACCAATTATAACTATAGCACACAGGATCTTGTATAAAATCTTTTTTTGTTTTGAAGTGATTTCTGTGTTAGAGAAAGTTTGCAAGGACTTTTCCAGGATGTTTGAGTTACTCGCTCAGGGTCCCTGAGTACTTCAGTGTGTTTCCTCCAAGCAGGAGGAATTGTGCCGCCATCCAAACCGGGAAAGTAACAGGCGCATTCCCGCCACCTGATTTCAGACACCCTTTGACCTTGGCCGTTGGTCCCAACAGTGTCCGTTATTCAGCTGCCACGTCTCTCTAGTCTCCTTCAGCCTGGACATGTTCCTTGGTCTTTCCTTGACTTTTATGACTTTGGCAGTTTTGAAAACTGCAGGTCAGATATGCAGTGGACTGTCCTGCATAAATGTAGAATTTATCTGATGGTTCCTTGTGATTTGACTACTATCATTTTTTGACAGGAACGGTAGAGAAATGATGCTGCATTTTTCTCACATCTTGTTACCTGATTTCTATTTGTTGCATCACTGAGGGTGTTCATGTTGATCATTTAATTAGGGAGCAGGATGCTAGGCTTACTTTAAGTTAATCTACCCACCCCCCCCCCCCCCCCGCTTTCTAGTTAATAAAGATATTAGGAAGGTATTTCAGAATCATAAATACTCTGTTCTTGCTCCTACTTTCACCCTCTGGTTTTGGAATCAGTTGGGTTTTTTTGAGGAGGGGAGGTGGTCTGATTTAATTGTTATTCTGATGGCTGCCATGTGGCGATTTTCTTCTTTCTACACTTATCAGTTGACTTTTTACTGTAAGAAAGAGCTTTCCTTTATTGCTGTTTATTTATTGATTTATTTAGATCAGCGAGGTTACATGTGTTGCTATTTTATTGGTAAGTTTGGTCATTGTCTATTATTGCTTATTTTGATGCCCAAATTGTCCTGGATTTGGCTAGTGGGAATTCTTTCAAGTTGTTTTTTGTGTTCTTTTTGTTTGTCCCTATTGTCTGTGATTACTTCCTTACTTTCTGACAAATGAGGTATTCCAGGCTCATCTTTTACTTTTCTGGAATCAGCCAGTTCTGCTTCCTTTTAGTGGAGAGTGGGATTTAGAAGCCAAGATCTAGGCAGTAGATATGCTCATTGCTCATTGAAGTGTTGCTGCTCACATCAGAGTTAGGGAAAATGAGTCTGTGTGTATAACATATACAACTATACTTCTGTATCTGTTTATACTGATATATTGAAATATCTGTATTTCAGTATCTTTATTTCTAACCAGGAGTTTGTACCGATGCCTCTAATTCCAACCCAGTACCTTAGAGTTCTTTCTAGTTTTCTCCTTCTTTTTACTTGTAGCCCCTTTTCTGACAGTGATGAACTGGACTCCCGTTATGTAAGCAGTATCCTATCGCTTCTGCCCTCCCCTCATTCTAGGACCGTCCTCTTCTTGCCCAGGCTGTGATGCCCCACGCTGGGCGTCACACTTCTGCGCCCCACCACTGCCCCCACCCTTCTCGTGCAGACACCTTCCTTACCTCGCGCCGAAGCTGACTTCCTTTCCCAGTCTGATGCTTGCTTTGTCTGGCCCTTTCTAATGGCTTTTGTGCTGAACTTTGCAAGAAGGAAAGGAAGAGAGATGTCGACATTATATCTTAAGCTCTTTTTGGTATATTATACATAGTTTTTATAGTTATAGTTTTTCATGCTTACATACTATAATGTTGTATCTGTGATATAGGAATTGTACAGATGGGGTCTGGAAAGCTTGTAGTTTATTGGTGTTAGTGAAATTATACAAGAAATCAGTTGCAAGGAGTTAACTTAGAAGCAGAGTACATGGAGCATGGACAGAGGTGATCATGCTTTCTTAGGAAGTGTGTAGAGTCCATCGGAGACATTCTAAAACCAGTTGAGGGAGCACCCGCCCACGGACCATGTCTAAATCGTCCACCCATGCATCTAGCCATTGATGTCTCCATCACTTTTAACTCTCAGTATTTTTTGGTTTCAAGGTTAGTGGAGCTTGGAAGATAGCTGGTGCCCTGGAACTGGCCAGGAAGGCCCAAGGTCAGCAATAGTAGGTGACCAGCCCAAACAGAGGATGCAGTGAGAGCCTGGTGACCATCACCAAAGCAGCATTCCCTGTTTTTTTGCAGCCAGGGCAGGGGCCCTGGCAATAAGGGCAGCAGTGCTTGCCAGGCAGCGCTGTTAATCATGGTGAGAAGCTGTCTCTGCCCTGGGCCCAGAAAGTCACGATAGTTGGCTGGCAGACAAGACATCACCATGTAAGGCTCTTCAGTGGCAGCCCCTATCTGGGAACACATAGGCCCTTGTGTGAACAACAGGGGTAACTGGAGGGCACACAGTTGACAGATGATGCTGCAAATAAATTCTGTAACTAGATCTGGACCACAGCCAGACCACCTGTCTGTCCTCTGTCAGGACCTCAGGTGAGGGTCCTGCTGCTGTTGCTTCAGGCAGTGGGGGTGGTGCAGGGATCATGATGAGAGGCAAGGGATGTGTCTCCTTGTGCAGCAGAGACCTCTGTGCTGGCTGTGTCTCCCTCAGTTAGGTCAGAGGGAGGTGCCCTTGTGATGATGACTGTGTTTACTGTTACAGAATTTTATAAGCAACTTGTACTGGTTTTCAGTATCATTGTTAATGCATGGGTATACCTCTGGAATCATTTTGAAATATTTCATGCTTCTGAGGTTCACTGGTACATAAAGTATAGATCTAATTTAATTTTTCCCCACATTGGTATACCATTAGCATAAACCTTCCCACCTCCCTTTTGAAGAAACTTAGAAAAAAAAGTCCTGTCTATTTCGTGGCTTCTTACTTTGTTCCAGGACTCTGTATTTCTACTTTTGTGCTTATATCACACAGTTTTAATGCTTGTTGTGTTATGTTGTTGTTACCCAGTTGCTAAGTTGTGTCCAATTCTTTGTGACCCCATGGACTGCAGCATGCCATGCTTCCCTGTCTTCCACTGTCTCTTGGAGTTTGCTCAGATGCATGTCCATTGAGTCGGTGATGCCATCCAGCCATCTCATCCTCTGTCGTCCCCTTCTCCTCCTTCTCCCAGTCTTTCCAGCATCAAGGTCTTTCCAGTGAGTCAGCTCTTCACATCAGGTGGCCAAAGTATTGGAGTTTCAGCTTCATCATCAGTCCTAGAATACTTATAATTTGTATATAATATATACTTTATAATATGTTATAATTTCTGTTCTTATCTGGGTATTTTTTCTGCTATTCATGCCTCTTAATTTTTTCAAAGAAATTTTAGAATTGTTTTGTTGTATTCAAATGTCCTTTGAGAAGTTAAGATTTTAATTCCACTCAGTTTACTCACATTTAAAAAAATGTATTTGCATCTTGACACTTGGGTTTATTCACTATGCTTCTTCTCATATTTGAGTTTTCATCTATTTTCTCCAATAAAACTTTGAAGATTTTTAATTTATGTGTTTGTTGAACTGTGTTTATTCATGTATACAAAATTCTGAACATAGCTGTATACTGCTCAAAAACAGAAAGAAAAACACTTTCTTATATTTATTCTGTGATCATCTGTTTTGATCGTTTTGGGCACAAAGGGCCTTTGAAGATACTAATTTAAAACCGGGTGGAAAAGAGGCCCACGGAACTCTGTGTCTGGCTCCAGGACTTCTGAGAACATTGTTCCTGCAGATGCAGCCTGGCGTGTCCGTGGAGGCTGGTTTGGGGATGCTGTTTAGCACGAGCAGTGCTTTAATACAGACAGCCCACAGGTGTCAGTGTCAGCTGCCGGAGCTGCCTGGCTCTGTTGTCCGGCCATCAGGCAGTCTCCACCTGAGCATTGCTTGCTGCAGCCCTGTTTCCCTGGAGCTTCTAGAACTGACACCACCTACAGTCCTGGCCACTGGATGCTGAGAAGGCTGCCGAGTGGATTCTGTAGTCCACCTGCCATGTTATGGGTTAGTCTCTTGTGGATTTTCCTGGAAGCTGACTGTAGTGTGTAATGATGTTTTTGTGAGAAAACAACCTCCAGAGTTCTAAACTACATACTGAAAAAGGGGCTTTTAGAGCATATATTGTTTCATATGCGAACAGCCTAGAATTTAGTATTGGAGTTATTTTCCCGTCATCCTCTAAAAATCACTAGCTTATTCATTTAGTTCATGGAAATGGCTTATAATTCCATTGTTGTTGTTCAGTCATTAAGTCATGTCCAACTCTTTGTGACCCCATGGACCAGAGCATGCCAGGCTTCCAAGTGTACTCACATTCTCACATTGAGTCCGGGATGCTGTCTAATAGCGTTATTCCTTCATCATTCCATTGCCATCTGTTTATTTAGTGATGATTATGTCTCTGATTCTCTTGTGGAATGGAGCATGGAATGTGAATAATAAATGCATCTCCTGTGCAGTGTTTTCATTAAATGGTTTTTAAATCTTAAAACTTATCAAGTCCATCTGAAAAATATGCCTATTCGAGTTAGGAATGGCTAGAACTAAATTTTTGAACTTCATATTGAAGCTATGACTTGTCCTAGGAAATTAGGAGTCCTAATTGGCATTCAGGTTTAACTTGAATTGTCAGGATTATCTTCCCCTTCAGGGCACTCTTAATTGTTTTATTACCCTGGTGGCATGGTTTTCAGACCTGATGGGCTGAGTTCTTCTGGAATT